CGGGGCCAGGGCCCTGTGCAGAGCAGGTGTTCTGCTCCAGCAGGACAATGCCAGGGCCAGGGCCACGGTGCTGCTCTGCTCCCGTAAGCCGGCGGTGAGTGGGCAGTGCGGCTGCTCTGCTCCAGTGAGCTGGCGCCGTATGAGGAGCAGCTACTCTGGTGGGCCAGGACCATGTGTTTTAGGTGGCTGCACAACACTAACGGGGCCAGGGCCCTGTGCAGAGCAGGTGTTCTGCTCCAGCAGGACAATGCCAGGGCCAGGGCCACGGTGCTGCTCTGCTCCCGTAAGCCGGCGGTGAGTGGGCAGTGCGGCTGCTCTGCTCCAGTGAGCTGGCGCCGTATGAGGAGCAGCTACTCTGGTGGGCCAGGACCATGTGTTTTAGGTGGCTGCACAACACTAACAAAGAATGAGTACATCCTGTGAAAATATAGCTTTGGCACAAATGCCATTTGCCTCTAAAAATCAGACCATCAGATTCTAATGCTAGCCCATAAAACCCCGAGTAAGACTTTTAGTCTCTTAAGCTATGAAACAATCAATTAAATGAAACACTTAATTCAAAAGTCAATCACTTATTTAAGAAATATACCCCTTATGCATGTTTTAGAGTTGGTCAAAGATTTTCCAATGAAGCAGGGTTCAGCTGGAAAATGCTAAATCATATCTGAAATGTTTTGCAGAAATGCATCATTTCTACGAACTTCTGGCAACCACATGCAACAACCCTTGAAGCTGCAAGTTCCAACCCTAGCTGTAGTTCAGCGCCTGACTCAGGACTTCCAGAATAATGTAAATGTCTCATTTTGGAAATTCTGAGCCCAAGTTTCAAGGCTCCCAGCTCCACAGCAGGGAAGCTGGAATACTTTTTGGGGTGGGGGGAGGGAGGGATTTTCCTTTTTGAGGAACATTGAAAAATATTTTATTTTTCATTCTGAAACTGATTTCCCTCCCCCTCCAGAATTTTGGAATTTCCTTCAAAACGGAAACTCTGACTATTAACTTACTTGGTATATTATGGTGCACAGGGTTACAAAGAGCAGGAAGGAAGCTTCCTTGTGTTTATGGCACTAGATGAAGACTCCTGTGAGTGAGCTTGACCCTGGCTCTGTTAGAACCTTATGTAATGCTGACCAATATCATAATAATGCATACATCTAAGAGGATAAAATTAAGGTCTTTTAATTTTGATTTTGTACATAATATTTAAAAAGTGTTGCCAGTAAAGGTCTATCCCCCTTTACACTATGTATTTTCCCAGCTTGTTTGACAAAATAGTTTTTGCAGGCACACTGGAGGTTGCTAGAACAATTAGCATGGGGAAGAAAGGGATTAACTTGCCCCAACTGCCAAATTAAAAAGTATTAAAAGTATTAAAATTTTAATACTAACCAGACAAAACTGAAGTCATATGATAGGAACTTTCACTGAATTCTCCACTATTCTTACATGAAAATTTAGAATTTAAAAACATTAATTTTCTTACTCCAAACAAGCGAACAAATAAAACTATAACCCCTGCCACCATCTCAAGT